TAATTTTAACAGCAAAATGGAAACTTGTTGTGCCTGGTTCTTGGGCTGTTTCCAATTCTTTTCTTTTTCTTTTGCACTGCAGTCTAAGCTATATCTAACGTACCAGGCAAAACTTGAAGACTGAATCTTTTCCATAAGTTAATTACATCAAGTCCATGAATCAGAGGTTTTTCTCTGTTACTGGTCTATGCATTAACTGTACGTTTTAGCCTCAAGTTTACAGTGGCAGAGCAAGCCATTGCTTGTGTCAGTACATGTTGGAAACCCATTGAAACAGTGGGTCTGATTTAACGCTGCCTTTCCACAGCATTCATATAGATTTATCGACAAAAAAGGAGCCAAATTATGTATGTACTCAACTCTTCCTTTGCTATTAAATGTAAAATAAAACTGTCTTGTTTAATGCAACTGTGTTTGTAGGGTTTCCCTTTTGATGAGTTAAAAAGTTAAAGAAAATTTTGCCATTGAAGAACAAATAAGATAACTTGTGCATTAGTCACATGAACTAGGTAAAGAGTTTGCTTTGTCAAAAAATTCTGTAATACACTAGCAGAACAACTAATTTTTCTGCTCCCAGTGGGCACTTCAGTATTTTAGGATCATTAAAGTGAATCTTTGTTCACTGTGTTCAGAATTTGAGTCTCTTTTGGCTCAGTTGCTTGCTTTTTAGAAGATGCAAACTGAAATTGGTCCTTAGTGACTAGAGATAACATGGTGTAGAGCTGGATGAACACAGCAGGCCAAGCAGTATCGGAGGAGCAGGAAAGCTAACGTTTCGGGTCGAGACCCTTCTTCAGAAAATGTGACCCCTTAGTGACTAGAACTGTTAAGTTTGCAGGGCAAGAACTGAATTGAAATCCTCCTGGCATGGCAAGAGTGAAATTACAAAGCAAAGCAAATTGATAAATACAAAATACATCTGCTGGAGCGTGGTAATTCCCTATCCAGTGAGTATCAACCATGTGTACCATAGTAAGTTCATTTGCTGGTGACAGATGTGGCAGTAATGTCTTGCCAAAAATTCATGGGTTTGCGTTTCACTTCAGTACATGTCATCTCTGCACAAGACTGCATTGCAGACACTACTTTTCAGATGCGATGTCTTGAAGTCCCAAGTGAAGTACAAGATTCCATGTTACTAATGAGCTCTACATCTGTCCTGACTAACCTTTGTCCCCCAGTCAACATCATGAGACCTGTGCTCTGTTGAATGCTGTTTTTAGTATTTATTGAAGGAAAATGTAGGAAATTATCTAATAAGATGATTTATATTTTTCATTATTTGGTCGTTATCACAATGTTGTTTGTGGAGCTTTGCTGTATACAAAATGGCTAAAGAGTTCTTTCATTACAACTGTAAATACACTTGCTTGTGGGACACATTGGAATTTCCTGAGAGCATGAAAGGTACCCTATAAAGGCAAGCTGCTTCTGTCCTTTATTTCTAATTGGTATGCATGTTGCATCCCAATTATGCAAAGACCTTGCACTGAAGTAGTGCCATGAATATAATTTTAATGAACTTGTCACAGCTGAATGATATGTTTACAGCTGAAGTAAAAAGACTGACAAATCCATTGTAGAAGATTGGGCGAAATCCCAATTAATCTGCTCCATGAGAATCAGGACATTACTGATGGAAAGGCCAGGTTCAGCGAGTGCTTATATAACTATCTTGGGTGGGAGGAGGGGGAGATTGAGCCAGGGTCTAGAGTGGTGTAGTTGGCAGAGAGGTAAGTATGTGGTCAGTTTAATAATTACTCAGGAGTTAGGCTAGGTATTTAATAATCTAATTTTTCCTGAGTAACTACTTTACTTCATTGGAATCCTCCCAAGTCTCCAATTTTAAACTCCGACTTTCCAGGCATAGTAGAATCACCTAGCAGAAAATTAAACTTCCCAGGCAATTCCGTCAGTGTGCTATGATGAGGATTCTGACAGCGTCCCCATTGCACAGCTCCTATCTGAGCTGGAGTAATGACTGTCTGGTGATAGACAATCCAGGCCCTTAATTTTTGAACTCTACAATTTCATTGCTACACGTCCTGCTTTAAAATATTATGTCTTATGAACTGTTCTGACCTATGTGGTCCTTTGGTTGCACCTTTTTGCTTCTGAGTCAGAAGGTTCCAGATTCAAAACCTGCTCCTGGACTGGAGCACAATCCACCAGTATCATAGTAAGAGTGTCCCAGGCTGTTTGTTTTTTTTTTTAAATGTGGCTGCACAAAGATTGGATGTGTTGGTTGTAATCTTCTTCCAAATGTCCCCAGATTCTGGCAAGGTCCTGGCAGATTTGGTAACTGCCAATTTAATGTTTTTGTTTAAGAAAGGAGAGAAATAGAAAACAAGAGACTATAAGCCAGTTTGCCTGACATCTGTCATTTGGAAAATGCTAGAATCCATTATTTAAGGAAGAGTGGTGAACATATAGAGAATCATGAGACAACAAGGTGCAGGGCTGGATGAACACAGCAGGCCAAGCAGCATCATAGGAGCAGAGAGGCTGACGTTTCGGGCCTAGACCCTTCATCAGAAAAGCTTTTCTGATGAAGGG